CCAGTGGCTGGGGCTGCGGGCAGTGCTGAGGGAGGGTGCAGAGGGGCCATGGCCCTTCCCAATGGGCTGTGGCTGAGACTGGGTCTACAGGATCTGTGCAGCCATATTGCTCCCGGCTCCCCACGCCCTGGCTGGGGGGGCCTGCCATGGAGCCACAGCTGGCTGGAAAGGGCTCTGTGGGGCTAGTCTGGGCTAGGCCATGGGGGCAGGGCCTTTTCTAGTCAGCTGTGGGTCCATGACACCCCCACCCAACCTGGGTGTGGGGAGTCGAGAGCAATGCAGCTGCACAGCTCCTGTGGCCCCAGCCCAAGCTGTAGCCCACTGGGAAGGGCCCCTCTGCATCCACCACCAGCAGCACTGCAGGCCGGCCTGGCTTAGCTCTGCAGCCGCAGCCCCAGCCTCAGCTCTGGGCTGATGGCAGGGCCATGCCAGGCAGTTCTGGCCAGGCCCCCTGCCACGTGAGTGGTCAATGGGGGGAAAGCCTGGTGGGTCAACAAGGGAGACAGGGGAATTTAATCCTCCTCCATGCCCCGCTTTGTCTGAGGCAGTGCCTGGCCCTCACCCCTTGGGGACAAGCCTGTCAAGGGCTGCTTCCCCTCTACCCCTCCAGGCACACCTTGGCTGGGGTCCTTGTAGGCCAGTGTGGGGTGAATGTCTGTTCACTTGCAAATTGGTTCAATCTACGCAGGTTAGACTAACTTGCAAAGATTGAATCAATTCAGGCTCCGGCTTTTTGAATTTCTGTCCCTAGCCTTGTTGCTTATTACATGGCCTCCTCTTATTAGTACAAGTCACAACAGAGACAGGCCAGCTTTATACTAAGGCAGAGGTTTTTAACCTTTTTGCATTTGTGGACTCCTATAAATTTGAACGTAAATGTGAACTCCTTTGGAAATTTTGAATGAAGATGTGGACCACTTTGAATTGGAAGTGTGGGTATGCAGATACTTTTGATTGATCACAGTCATCTTTCATTGACCTCTTAGGACACAGCTGAGGTTGAAAACCACTGTACTAAGGCATTAAAAAACACACACTTCCCTAGTATGAATGCTATTAGAGAAGTGGAAGGGTCAGGGAAACTTAAGGGGATGGTAGTGTAAGGGAAACAGTGGGAGATGTACAAGAATGGGTGAACTCTGAAAATAAGAAGCATTTACTGATGTAGTTTGTCCTTGTTTGGGTTCAGGTATGCCTCTCATTCCTAGAGCCTCTCTTCCTCTAGACCAAGCATATAGGTTGCAATTCCCTGTGATAATCATGGTGAGTGTTACTTTAGTTTAGCATCTGCATTTCTGCTCTATCTTGGAGCTAATAACAACATTAAACAGTGACCACCCAGCTTTCCCAAAGTATCACTTTTTTTTTTAGAATAAAAACATTAACAAAACATATGCTTTAACTTGCATACTTAGCTTACTAGGTATTTTCCACTGTCTGCATTGAACCATGGCTGGTCTATTATCTAAAATTTGTTAGTTTTGTTCCTGTGTAACTGTGTCATGTCTTAGATTAAATGAGTGGACCTTTCCAACTTTCCTGTCTCTGGTTGGTCAGTGCATCAAAATCTGAATGAAAATTCCTGTGTTCTCTGGACCCCCAGATGATTTGAAATAGACAGTCTATTAATAAATCCTCAAATTCAGTCCTAAATGTAATGTATACAATCCAAGCCCAGTAACACTAATGAACCCTACATACTGAAATTTACAATGAGAGATGTGTTTCTAGGCACTTTTGTCGATATCTGTATACCTGTGCTTGAGCTGAGAAGCTCAAAGGATATCACTTTCTATTTTCTTAAGTGAACACAGTTGTTTCTATTGTGCTAGTTTAACCTGATTTAAGAAGGCATGGTGTAACCCCATTGAGTCAGGGTACATTTAGACCTTTCAGTTGTATCATTTCTTACTCCCAGTTTTATTAACCTATTCCATTCCAAAGGAAATTTGAATACTATCTTTCATCTTCCACATTGGTCCTGTGTTAAGCCAGTGTCTGAACACAGGATTCAAATGGCATCATCTGGTATAACAAATCAGCCATATCACGTAGCCATGAGTCTCCTGCACTTCAAAGATCTTTAGGATTTCTGTTCATGGTGACCATGTTATCTGATGATATCCAGTCTCCTGGCTGGCTCTTGTCCAATGAGTTCTTTTACTTTCACTTAAAAACAGTTTGTAACCCTGGATAGGAGACCAAAAGCAGATAGGATTACCTCCTGGTTAATATTCTAGCGGGTGAAGCAACACACTTTTTTACATCCAGATAAAATAACTTGCTCTACATACTGGTACATAGGACTTTGAAGAGGCCTTTTGGGACATCCAGAGCAGGAAAGCATGTTCGTATAATTATTTTCATAAAATAACTAAGCTCCATTTTAAAAGCAGCTGGCTCTCTTGCGCCTCTTCTCCTGTTGGAAAGCCGTTCCAGAATCTATCTTATATGACCAGAAATCTTCTGATTCACAATCTAAATTAATTCTTGGCCAGTTTCTCTCCATATGTTCATATGCCAACATTGTCCTTTTAGTTTAATTAACTCTTCCATTTACCTGGTATATGCCAGTTACCTTTGCCTCTTCTTTTACAGACCAGTCCATTTAAAGCTTTATTTCTGTTCTACAGTATTTTTTTTTCCTTTTTTAAAGAGAGTTCTGATTACAAGTTAGCGTTCTTCCAGTGCTTTCTCTTTTTTTCTTGGGAGAAGTTCAGTTTCTCATGGGAGAAGTATGGCTAGAAAAATACCCAGCTGTTTAGACTGCAGAGATAAAGAAATATTTTTTGTTTTCTTTATTACTTAACACTTTAATTATAGTAGCACCTAGAGACCCCTATCTGGACCCCACTAAACGTGGCTCTGTACCAGCTCTTAATATGCTAAAGCACAGCTGGTACATGCAGAGGTAGCAATCTAAATAGTTAAGAAAACCAACCAACAGCAGACAGCAAATAAATTGTCAAAACAACTAATATTTTGTTTCTTAGTTGGTTTTGGTATGTGTGTTGTCTCCTTATTTTGTCTTCCAACCATCTCCTTTGCTGCCTCTCCCAACAACCTCCCTTTCCTGCTTCCTGCTCTTTTCATCCTTTCTACTTCACAAATACAGCTTTCAGACGCAGTCTGGAGGGGCAGTTAGCCAGAAACATATATAAAGGGCTTGTCATGGAAGGAAGGCCCAGAAGGTAGAGAGGACTTGGAGGCACCTTCTTGCATCAATCCCCTATAGCTTCTGGATATTCTTTCTTTCTCTGTGTCCCTGGACGGGATTGCTAACTATTTCAATAGTGATCTCTTCCAGAGAAAGGATGAGAGGCTTTGCATATAGATTCTAAAATATTTGGAAGGATGATTATGTGCAGTAATCAAATAAGACTGTTTCTGGTGTGGTGGATAAAAATAGGCCTTACTTCTGGCCCTTCACAATATTCCTGTCCAAACAAAGTGACTAGCTGGATTAGAATAAGAGTCTCTAAACTCAGATGCTTGGATGATGCTGGGACTTCCCACCGAGTTGCAAATGGTGCTTATGAGAACTGCATTTGACAGCATCAGCCAAGCCAATTCTTGCTGTATGACCTGACTTCACTGCTTCCTCATGCAAAATCTATTGGAGTAATGTGAGGTTGGTTTTATGGCTGAACTGGCTGTTGCAAGACAAGACCGAAATGTGTGTAAAAACTGATGTCACCTCTTAAACCTTATTGGAATCCATTGTTTTGACTCAGCTGAGCTACAATAGAGTAGAAATCACAATGCAACTTTGCTTGTTTCATAGTGCAGAACAGGGTCTTTTTATTTTTAGGTACTGTTGGCAGCACATCTGTCCAAGGCTTAGGTGAAAGCCTGTATAAACAAGGCCTGAAAGTACTCCTGAAACCTTTCTAAGCTCTTTCTACAGCTGGTATGTTACTTCAAATATGTGCTAAAAGATTTTTTTTAAATTTCTCATGCAAGTTAAGCACATCTTTTCTTAAGTAAACAAATCTATTATTTACTGTGTTTTTAATGAAGAAAATGCAAATTCTCAAGGGGCTTAAACTCTGGCTGCTGCCCCCATCCCCCACTTACCTTTGAATCCTTTTACCAGAACAGCGTGTACATGCATATCTACCATATACCCACACATTGACAGTCCAGTGAGTCTCTGCATTAAAAATGAGTTATCATGTCTTCTTCTTTGTAAAGGGCTTTAAGGTTCTTAAAAAAGAAACTATGCCTGTATAAGAACCATCTCAGAACACTGCAACTATGACTGTTTTAATGATAGACTATTTTAAGCTGATACTTTTTTTGTACTACTTAATTATATAAAGAAGATCTCTTTATTTTCTACCTTAAAACAAACCATATGCTATAAATTGTCTGTCTTCAGGGTATCAAAAAGCCTTTTACTGAGGTCATTAAGGCCAACATTGGTGATGCCCACGCAATGGGACAGAGGCCCATCACCTTTCTTCGTCAGGTAAGGCCTTTTAAAATGTGAAATAATATTATTTCTAAATCTGTCTCTTCTATATAAAGTATCACAGTTTCAGAGACTCTGATTTGCCAGAGTAATTTGTGGTTGTACAACACATGCTTCTCCCAGCTTGATCATAATACACAACTCAGTTATTTTAATCATATTATGAGGGTTGCTTTGTAATTTATGTGCTAGGATAAAATAAAGAATATTTTCATTTACTTAAAGTTTATATAGTCATCCCTACACAAGGACTACAATAAAGAGCCACCTGTTTGGCTCAGACATCAAAACTTCATAGCTGGCTTTCTGAGTCTCCTCTGCAGCCAGTTTTTGTGTGTGTCCCTCATAGTATTTCTCTTTCTTTTTTGTTTTCTTTTATACTCTTGAAATGTTCTGTCTGCCCTCCCCATGTCTCCTGTTACTTGGCTTGTATCATTGGCTAGCTAATAATAGAGGAAAATCAAGATCTCTTGCGAAAAATAGATATTTAGATTTTGGTCTATTGGTATACCTTCAGTGCTTGACTCTCTTTTAATTTGCTGTTGTCCTTTACTTTCAATGCATCTAGTTTTCTTTGGGATTGCAGAGGAATCAGTAAAGCTGACAGTGATATTAATTTAAAGAAAAAGTAGCTTTGAACAACAAATAAAGTTGTGGCCAGTTTACATCAATTTTACTATTGTAGGTGGTGGCGCTATGTACATACCCAGATCTGTTGGACAGCCCAAGTTTCCCAGAAGATGCTAAAAACAGGGCCAGACGGATCTTGCAGGGATGTGGAGGAAATAGTTTAGGTAAGCGTTTAGCTTTACGTGTCATTAGCTGCTTGTCACTGCTGTCATTATTGGTCTTTTTATTCTTTGCTGTAATCCCATCCATTTACGTGGCTTTAAAATGAGTGATGATGAAATTTTTTAAGGGGATGTGCTTTTGGTATGTCTTAGAATCTTGAATGGGGAAGTGCTCAAAAATGATCTACTAAAGTGATTAACAATGAATGTGTTTGACAACTGCAAAATACTGTTGACAGGAGAAAGTGATATAGACCTCTAGGCAAAATTACATATCTCTGATGATCCCATCGTCACTGGTATCTGAGCACTCAAAAATCAGTATTCTGTTATTTGTATAGTGTGTGTATAAATGTTATGTGCTGTTATTGTACATAGTTAGAAGATGTATTCTGACCCTGTCTGTGCATTCTTCCTCGCAACATTCATCAGTCAGTTGTGCCTCCAAGGCAAAGTAGCCCTGAAAGAACAAGCGTAGATACCAAGGGGATATGTTTGTGTCTAGTATTCCTTCCCAAGGATGTATATGTGTGTTTCATAAATAAAAAACAGCTGTTATCTACTTGTATGTGGGAAATGAATCTCCTCTCTCCAAGTTGGAGGCAGGGAGTAGGGGAGCTGTTGGAGGGCCAGAAATGGTTTTGGAGTTACTAGTCTAGCAATTCTGAAGAAAGTGTTCTAGCCATGGGACAGTGCATAGAATCTGGCAGGTCACATTTCATACCTGAAAGGAAGTAAAGAGACTAAAAGTGACATTTCAAAGCACATGTTAAAGTAACTGATGTGTGTCTTATTTTTTCTGATTGCACTGCCTAGTTTTTATGGTGATAAGTGCTATAAAATAAATTGGAAAACTAGTAACTGTATTCCAAGTCTTACATCCTTGGAACACTTTTAACAGTTCATCCAGTGTCAGCCTATACTTTAGTGTTACATGATCTTTTGAAGTGCTCTCCTAGGCTGGCAGATTTCTGTTGCTTGTGTGGCTCTCTTAACTTGAGTATTACCCTGTTTATGAGCTCAGAGATTCCAAGAGCTTGTACTTGGAGAAAAGTTTGGGTGGATCATGCCAGTTCTTGCTTCCAGCTGCAATGTTGTATTAAAGGATAAAAATATTTTCCTCATGCCAGTTTTTAGGAGGGTGTTTCTAGGACTCTGTTACGGTATGAGCCACTCTGAGAAAAATTTGGAGAGCCTGTAGACCAAGCTGACTTTTTTGGACTTAGAGAAGCATGCAGACATCAAGCTGGGGTAGGAATTCTTCACAAGATAGTGCAGCTGCTCTTGGATAGTACAAAATGATTACTCAGCAATATAGTACTGCACATGTTTAAGGAGGGTTGTAAACATTATTAATTCTTCACAACACTTGATTTCTGCCTTGACCTCCATCTTTTTCTTTTTGTAGAATAACTGCCCAAATTCATGTCAGTGGAAGAGTCAGGATTAGAATTCATTAGCTACTGGTTATCCCACTGAATGTGAGACTATTTGCCCATGGTTCTTGAATATTGTATTTCTGGTGTTTCACAAAGTGTGGGTGACTAAAAAAATGCTGAATGTGCAGAAACCCTTCAACAAAGAAACAGCATATTTTAAATAACTCGCAGCAATTCAGTGTAAATAGGGTTCTAAGTGCTTTCAGTAGGCACTCAGGCCTCCTGCGAAATGATCATTATGAGCACAAACACTTCAAAAAAGATCAGTGGTGAAACAGACATGCAGTCCAGACTCCAATCACTGAAGAGCAGCAGAGGCCAACCTTTTTGGCAGGTACACCACAAATTAACTCTGCACCCTCCCCAAGTGCCATTCTGATTCCCCTCCCCTGTCCAATCTGCTGCTCTGTGTTTAGTTACAGTGCTGCCTATCCCCTCCCCAGTCTGGCCACCCTGTTGAAGAGCAGTTTTTCTGTTATGACTTGCACTAAAAAACAAATAAATGTTAAATATTTAGCTTAAAAAAAAAGATAGAACAGATGAAAATATCTAACTTTAATCTGCATGTTTTCAGCACTGTGTAAGCTGTTATTCTTTACCTCAATTGCTGCTTAACCACTCACTCCTCAGCATGGACACGTGTTTGAGGTGGAGGCTGTGACTATATATTTTTTTGACTGGGAGTTTCACCTGCCAGAGTGTTTGATCATTTTAATGTTCCACTTGTAGCCACTTACTCTTGAAGTGGCCTTTTTGGCAGGAGAGTAAACATGGCCCTTGCACCACTGCACCTTCCTCCCTGATGCACACAAACTCCCTTGCATATAAGAATTTGTGTTTTGTATTATAGTCCTGATAAACCGGTTCCTAAAAAAGCTTGGCAGTCTAATATGGAAGGGATGAAAGTTTGCAGTTCTGTTGGAAATGCAGCAGCTCTATATGTTCTTTTTAACTTAAGGTTATGTCTTTATTGCATAGTTAACTGGAGTGACTGGTTCCTGGGTCTGAGCACCAGGGTTAATCTGAGCTGCCTGCAAGGCTAGGGACAGACATTCAAAAAACCGGAGCCTGAATTGATTCAACCTTTGCAGGTTAGTCTGACCTGCAGAGAGTGAGCCGGTTTGTAACAGAACAGACATGCGGGCACATGCCTGCAGTTGCTCAGGCCAGCAGCCAGGGGAGCTAGAGCCTGGAGCCAGCGTGGGGTCAGGGCTGCGCCCGCTGGTCCCTCCCTGTACCACAGGGCTGGGGCCAGCGGCAGCAGCAAAGAAGCTACTGTGGTCGGGCTGCCGAGAATGGCAGTCCCGCCACAGAGCAGCCCCAGCCCCGCTGCATTCTCAGGGAGTGGCACCTCAGCCCGGCAGCACTGAGGGACCTGCCATGAGCCAGACAAAACCCCTCCCTGGCTAGACCCCTGCTCCAGCTGGGGAGCAGAGGGGCAGAGCCATCCTGGCTGGGCTGGAGCAGAGAGCCCAGCCCAGAGACCATGCCCAGAAGCTGGGGGTGTCTGGTTTAACTTAAACCAGAAGGGGTCTGGGACAGACAATGCATAAACCGGTTTGAGCCAACTCAGTTAAGTCTGATACTACATTCAACCAGGTTTATCTTAAACTGGTTTTGGACATTTTGAAACTGGTTTATGTGCACTGAATGTCTGTTCTGTTACAGGTTTACACCAGTTTCAGATCACTTAAACTGGTTTATGTGTAATGTCTGCCCCTAGCACAAGTGTTTCAAAAGCTGAAACCCTACTTGTATAACTGTGTCCTCTTGTCCCCACACAATGTGTCTGGAGGCAGATCCCATAGTTCTTGTGCTGAGATGCTCCAAGACTCTTTTTTAAGGCAGTTGTAACTTGTAAGATACTTGCCTGCCCTTTTGGTGAGGAATTGAAGGGAAATAGGTTGTTGACTAGCAGTTCTCAAGTGATTCCTCTCCTCTCCTGTTGCATGCATCTCTCACCACAGATTTCGTGGGTTCCAGCCCGATTGTAGGCTGATTCCATCTTCTACTCTATACCTCCAGCTGTGTAAACAAGCCTGGACTTAAATGTCAAACTTGGGTCAGGCTTTTCTTTGTGAATGGTTGGAGAGACATTGAGGTAGAACCCAAGTAAGAGTCTGGATTAATTAATTGTGTAGTGAACACCTGTCCTGACATTCCCCACTGTTACTGCTAGTGAAACAATTTAGGATTGCTGGTACTAAATTAACAGTAATGTTGACTGACCCTACCTAGAACAAATGTTACTAGCATAGAGTTAAAAATGCTGCAACTATCTTGCCTACACTAGCAGTTCTAACCTTTATAACATCCTTGCCTGATGTGTAAGGGACTAGGTCTGAGGGACTAAGTTTTTCCTTCGTGGAAAGCCAAAGGAGTATAGATGTACCTCCCCGCCCCTGTGCCCCGGGAAGCAAGAAATAAATTATTTCTTTCTGGAAGTCTCTTCCCAGGACTGATTCCTCAGACTGCCTGTGTTTTGGAGCTGACCTCCCTACAAGTGCATGTAACTGGCCCTTCAGAGTTCAACAGCAATCCTGGGCCTTGGCCCAAAATGATTTTCAGTCTCTGTAAGGCATTCTTTCTTGATGGCAGCAGTTCCAATTGTTTCCTGCCATTCTTTGTAAAGTTACCACAGCACAGATCTTGGAAAAAAAAACCCTGCCATCAGTTCAACTACTAGCATATAACTGAGCAATGAGGGTAAAGTTGGGTATAATCATGCCACTCCATCTAGCAATCTACTTAGAGCCAAGAAGATCCTGTTGTTTCATGGCAGTGCTAAATTACATGAATGCTTATCACATCAAGCTCAGTCTGTGCTTGGCTTTCTAACTTGAATTTATTTTTCAGCCTGCTGGAAGTTTTTTGCACATATTCAGCAGTGGAGTACTTGGGAACAAACACTTGTTGTTTCTATCTTTAAGACCATTATAGTTATTATGAACTTAATCTGAATATTTTAATGAGAACTTTACACCGTATTTCTGGTTACCATTCTGCTTTTGTTATAAATGACAGAAAGTGATTTATATTGGAAAAGTGATACAGTTCTACGTTGTCACAGTGATATTAAAGGACTTGAGTTTTGGTATTTATTTTAATTTTAATTCATCTCATGCTCCTTCTGTTTCTTGCTGCTGCTGTCTGAACAGAAGACATTTCTAAAGTAAATTGGTTGGTTTCTTTGATGAATTTTGATAAAAGTGCAAGCGGCTCCACTAGCTTTGAAATTTCACTGACCAACCTGAGAATTTGCCTACATTTGAATGCCTGATCATATTTTCTTTTTGTACAGGGTCTTATAGTGCCAGTCAAGGTGTAAATTGCATCCGTGAGGATGTTGCAGCATATATTGAAAGAAGAGATGGAGGAGTTCCTGCAGATCCAGATAATATATATCTTACCACAGGGGCTAGCGATGGAATTGCTGTAAGCGTTGCATTTCTGTCCATACACACATTCTGTGCCTAAACTGTACAGTCCATTACACTTGCATACAATAGTCATTCTGATTTAATTTTATTGAAGTTGAAGTCTGTTAAGCTAGATATAAAGTGTGAGGACAAAAACAGGTTGATTGTTACTAAAGACATAGGTACACCATCAAAGTACTATGTTAGGAAGTACCAATAACCATACCCTGCAGTATGAGTTTATTGGTATATGTCCAGCATCTCACTAAGGTGGCTACATAACATCTGTTTTGAACTGTAGTGCTCAGAGCCAACGTGGCATATTTCCCTGCGGTGCTCCCTAGAATGATTCTTGAACAGTGTTGACATTCCCTAAGGATCTGAAGCAAAAGTTTCCTCTGAGCATTTTAATCTATTTAAGGGATTAAACATGGTTTTAGGAGGAAATAGATTTAAGCTAGAAAATTTGCTGTTTATAACGCATTTATAGACACTTAAGTTCAGAGAACATTATTAATTGAAGAAACCAAACCCCACAGAATAGGAACTTTTTAGAGAGCCACTGATCTCACTGAATCCTCTAAACCAGTGGTTCTCAGCCTTTCGAGACTCAAGGCACCCCTGCCATAACTTTTCTGAATTTAGTAACACCCCATTTCCAAAATTTAATTGTACTCATTTTTTGACTACAGGTAAATAATAGACCAATTCTTCTGTTTCAGAAAACTCAGAGAGACCATGGTGGGTGAGAATGTTCTGGACACTGTGGATTCCTATTTGAAATCTCTGGGTTTCTCTTATGAATTACATGTAGGTGTTAGCACATATTGCATGACACCCCACATCATCCTTCAAAGGATCTCACAACATTCTGGTTGAGAGTCACTGTTCTGAACACAAACCACTTGTACTGTCAGTGGAAATTGGCAGTGGAAATTACCTTCAATAGCAAGCTCCTTGTGTTTTAAGCCACCATTTTGAAGTATCCCCAAAGTTTCCCATACAGTTGTGGTGTGTGGGTTTGGGTTTGGGTTTGGTTTGCTAAAGACAGTCATTCCTCGGCATCCTGTCTAAAATGGGGTTCATGATCTGCTACTGTAGGGGTGTGTATAGAACTGCTCCATGTACATTTTACAGCGCTATAATTTAGAGCACTTTTTATAGCACTATAAAGTTACAGCACTCTTAAACATGACAGAAGTGCAGTGTTGCGGGGGAAGGGGGAGCTCTGAGCCTCCCTGCACTCTCCAGGCTAGGATGCAGGGGACACTCTTCTTGGGGCTTTTCCACTGGTCAGAAATTTGACCAGAGTACAAGAAGTTATTTAAAGTACCAGAAGTTACTTAAAGTGCTGTAGGTTGCTTATATGCTGTAAAATCCAGCACTTTAAATTAATCCTTGTTAAATGAGGTATTAAATTTGAAGTGCTGTACCCATTTTTAAAGTGCTATAAAGCCATGCTCGTCTGTTGTCACAGCAATAAACTTCTTTATATAGTGAAAAAGCAACTTCTGTACATACCCTAAAACAATATTTTTTTCAGCAAGCTTTTTCCGTTAGTGGGCAAAAATTATTTAAAATAACATCTTGTGGCATAGTTTGATATTACAGTACTCTTTGATTTGCAAGTTTTTTGATTAATCCAAGGTAATGGATTTATGATCCCTAGCATTTATGATCTAAAGGCTGCATTGGCATCTTGACAGGAACGTGAAAATTTTCAGATATCATGCATCTAAAGGTGGCACAGGATTATCCAAATATGGTTGTTAGCTGATGATCAAAACAACTTGTACAGATTTGCCAATGGTAATAGCCTACAATTTTAAAGAATTTCAGCCCCAGCTGTTAGTCAAAGTTGTTTTTGATGTTAAAAGGACATTCTATGTTGCATTTGCTCTTTGTTACATGTTTTAGAAAATCTTTAGAGAAAATATGTCAGCATTTTAAATATAATGGCTATGAAATATTACTGGTGGGTCATATACCTCCATATACATCACTGTTTATATATGGTAAGCTAACAGGGGGTGAGAGGCATGGAAGTGCAGGCTCTGTTCCTTACCCTGTAGCAAATTTACAGGATACTGCTACAGAACCTAATTTTATTGAGTTGTCTAAGCTGCTGCTCCTCTCTTTGTTACTAGTTTCATATCAACATTTCCTTGAGAGTACCTATTTGGTGCTGAAGACAGAAAAATTTCTCGACTCATAGCATGAAATGGACATTATTTAGATCAGTGGTTCTCAACTTTTTTAGCCTCAAGGCTCTCCTCCATACCTTCTCTCAATTTTGTGGCACCCCAGTTGAGAATCACTGAGCTAGAATGAAATTCAGAAAAGATATGGAGGGCTGCCTTGAGGCTAAAATTGTTGAAAATCCCAGATCAAGCCAGTACCAGGTCATAGTGGCAGGGACAAGGTCTAACTTTCCCATGCTGTGTTCTTTCCCTGAAACTTTGGAATGGATTAAATGCAATCTTCAAAAATTGCATGGCAGAAAGAAAAATGTAATTGAGTTGTATTATGCCTCACTCACTCAGCCAGTAATTTCATTTGCATGGTGTATGTCCTTCAGATCTAACAGTGTAATTGATAAGAGTTTCTGGCTATTTCAAAGACCTCTGTAATTGAAATTCAGCAGAAAGTAAAGGACAGAGAGTAAAAGAGGATAAATAAGAACTTCTGGAACAAATAATTAATTCTGATTTCATTTTCCCCTCTTCTCTTCTTAATTCCTTCATTTTTTCCAGGCTATTCTAAAACTTCTGGTCTCCGGAGGAGGGAAAACCCGAACTGGAGTGATGATCCCCATCCCACAGTATCCTTTGTATTCAGCAGCCATATCTGAACTAGATGCCATCCAGGTGAACTATTACCTGGATGAAGAGAATTGCTGGGCACTAGATGTGAATGAACTTGGTCGTTCCTTGAATGAAGCTAAAGCATACTGCAATCCAAAGGTCCTTTGCATCATCAATCCAGGAAATCCTACTGGTCTGTAACTCCTTTGTTCATGTCAAAAACTTTGGTTGCCCTTTCCTCATTGTGTATGTTCAGAATATGCTTGTGATTTACAGAACGCTTGTAGCTGAATTGTAGTGGTAAATGCAAAGGGTCCCTTCATATGACACATCTTTCAGGTGGAAACTTGCACAGGCATAATCTGGCCAGGCACGTTTTAGTATACAATTCATAAATGTACTTAAGCTCAGTGAGGGGGTAGGGGTGGGGGCAGGAGGAGGGAAGCTTCTTGCCTGTAGAACTAAGTTTGATCTTGAGTGTTTGCCAGGCTACTTGTAGAGAATGTTTTTGACTGAAGATGACAAGTTACTGTGGATGTCAATATAAAAATACAAGTATAACCCTTCTTAAAAATGCTGCATTCCATAGTGTATCAAATGGTTCATAAATATTAAGGCATCAAATAGACCCCCATAAAACTTGCTTTTGATCCCCATCTCTAATAAAATTGGCAGTTGGAGGGGAGAAATACAAATATGCCACGAGTCCCTAAATAAATCACACATTGCTCTTAGCACATTGACCTGTTTCCTCTCATTCTGCTTGTTTGAGCAGAAACCAGTTTCCTCAAGTTACTGGCGCACACTGCTTGGGAAAGTTGTACCAAAATCCATTATACTACTATTTAATTTTCCTTATTTCCTTGTTGTGAGGGTCTTTTAAGGAAAATCCAAATTTCCATTACTTTTATAAAGAAAAGTAACATCTTATTCAGAAGCTAGCAAGCAGTCTTAATATTCTGGAGCAAAAGACTTTGTCCACTAATGTGTTTTTTTCTTTTTTTCTTTTCCTTTACCGTTATAGGTCAGGTTCAAAGCAGACAGTGCATTGAAGATGTTATACATTTTGCTTGGGAGGAGAAACTCTTCCTTTTGGCTGATGAGGTAGTAAAGTAAAAAGCTACACATTTCTGTTCTGAGCATTCCTGATTTTAAAATAGGGACACAAGTGCTTCGTTCTTTACTTGTAGTCAGTATGATTCTTGGTTTGCAAGACAGAAAATGGATGATCACATTTAAGTTGAGAATAAAAAATCCAAGCCTGTCAGTCTTGAAGGAGTAATATGAAAAATGTGTGCTGGGATGACTTAGCTTAGGAAAATAAGGACACGAGGCTCCAGTAAGGACACAATTCCCATTTTTTCTGAGGTTATTTTATTTTATTTTTTTGATCAAGAATGGATGTTAGTGATATCAGCTGTCTGTTCAGAATCTGCCCGTCTGGCCACAGGAGTAGTGTGGGGTCAGTCTGTGGGCCAGATCCTGTGGAAAGTCCTGCTGGTCAGATGAGCAGCCTTATTTCAAATAATTTTAAAAAAAAGTATTTGTGGAGAAAATTTTTAAAAGATATAAAAGGTCAAAGCTCACTCTTCTTACAAAGGCTAATCTATTAAATATAGTGCAAAATATCAAATTTTGATCACTGTAATTTTATGTTATAGGAGATATAGTTCTGTCCCCTAAAATGTATTGTTTCACCTGTCGAACGTTCCAGACTTTCTGAGTGATTTGCATTCTGTGCAACGTGCTAGTCATTTATTCTGTTGGAGAGAGATTATATTGTGTCTCCTTGTGTAGGTTTATCAGGATAACGTGTACTCCGAGGGATGTCAGTTCCATTCCTTCAAAAAGATTCTGTATGAGATGGGACCAGAGTATTACAACAATGTAGAACTAGTCTCCTTCCATTCCACCTCAAAGGGATACATGGGCGAGTATGTCTGTCTTAGATTTCCTTTTCCTTTTCCTTTCCTTTTTCCCTTTCCTTGGCAGCTAGTGACTATTGATAGTGAGGAGGCACAATCACTAGCGTAGCGACAGGGGGAGGGGGTAAGGGGGGGACAAAGGAGGCATGCCCCTGGATGCTGGCTGGGGTGGGTCGGGGGTGGGAGGGGGCTGCGCTTTTCGGGCCCTCCAGGGGTACTCAGTCACTTCTGGTTTTGCCACTGGTGTTTCCGCTGCCGCCCGCCCCCCAACTCAGCGATCGGCCACGGATGGTGGGATGCCAATGGAAGTATTGGCCCCCGGGTGCTGGACACCCATGCTACACCACTGGGCACAATTTAAATGTTCTGGTGATATGCAGTGGGGTTCAGGGCAGGTACTCTGCCCTGTCTCAGAGACAAAGGAGTTTTTATTTCTATTCTAGAGCTACTTTTAATGCCATGCTTTACGATACTATGTAGTAGCAGATGGAGACTGTTCTAAAAGAGAGCTACACATGAAGAAAACTCTGGCAGGAGGTGTGGGGGGCAGAGGGTGTTTGGGTCTTTCCAGAGTTTGGCCTCTGCCCCAGTGGTGCAGGGCTTGTCTGGACTCACCAGAGCTTGGCCCAATGGCCTGAACTGGCCCTGCACCGTCAGGGCTGTGCACTGTCCCAGACTGCCCTTGTGCCATTGGGCTCACCAGAGCTCAGCCCCAACCCCGATGGCACAGGGATGGCCTCCAAGCCCTGGACCTCCAACCGCCCCCCCCTCCGCCCACCCTGGGCCCCATAGACTTACCTGTATGCAGCTGCTGGAGCTGCTCCCATTACCCTGCTCGGCTGTACTGCCAGCCACGTGCGTGAGCGTGCACACATATGCATGGCACCTGCAGCCCTGGATTTTTTTCCCTTTACTTGCCTGTTCCCTTTCTGTAACAAAACTGATGAACATTAAATCTGGGGGGTGAGGGTGGTGAGTGGCTCCCCATGCCCTCCCAAAACATCACCAATGTTTCTTTTAATATATCTCCTTTTGCAGTATGGCTAGAAGATGAGGAAGCTGTTTTATAGTTTAGGATGGTTTTAGCACATAAATGAGCTGCAGGGGATCTTTTGTCTTCTATTACTGCAATGCAGCAACTGTTAAGGCAATTACATGCGCTGCGTCTGTGTGCACGTGCAAGGGAGAGAGGGAGTGTTTCATTATTTGCAGGCTAGCCCAGTGATTCTTCAGCTTCTCTTAGTGAACTGTTTGTTAAGAGATTTCACACTTTTACAGACCCCCATACCCCCACCAGTCCCTCTATGACAGGTTCCCAAAAATATTTAAGTTTGACCTCCCAAGGACAACCCTATAGTCCCCTGCTTCTGCAGGAAGGGCAGGGATGGAAATGACAACCTTTTGCTCAGAAGGACTCTGCTACTGCTGTATGTTTCTGTCATGAGGCGTGTAATAGCTGAATTACGTAGAGTTGCAGATATATATGGGATTCTACTTAAATTGTGGTTTCGCAGATTTCACAGAAACCGTGAGATTTGGGGTTGCCCACAAAATCAACAACAAAAAAAAGCTTAAAAAGCTGGTTCTCCAGTGGGAGCCAGTGGTCCTCCCTGCTGCTGTGGCCCAGCCTTGCAGCCTGCCCAGGAGGGGAAGGCACCAGCTGGCGGGGCAGCATGAAGGATAGCAAAAAAGATGGCAGCTGCTCCCTCATCCCTCCTCCCTACCCCTCTGCCCCCCAGGGCCTTTCCATCAATTGGTACTGAGGGGCAGGGCCGCACAAAGGGCAACCAGCAGTCAAGATGGCAGCCGCCTCCCCGTACCTCCCCCTGTCCAGGGCCTCCCCACCAATCAGTGACAAGGGGCAGGGCTGCCAGGACATGCCCGTGAAATTGGCTCTTCATGCCATGGCCACGCCACAAAAACTGCTTTGTCTTATTGCAAGTTAAGCAGACCCCAGTTATATATGCTAATGTACAGAAGGTTAATGGAGGTTAAACTTGAGTATTTGGTTGCCCTTTTAGAGACTTGTCCAATATGGAAGATGTTTAAATGTGTATGTTAATTGTATTGGCATAAAGCAAAGTGTTCATGACCTAGTATTCAGCTGAATACTTGCTCTCCCTCTACTTTGGGGGGTTATTTTCGTAGCTTTTTCAAAAATAATACCTTCAAAAGTATTCACTTTTTTTTTTTTCCATACATCCACCCTATTCCTAGGTGCGGCTACCGAGGAGGTTATATGGAAGTGATTAATTTGCATCCAGAGATCAAAGGACAGCTTGTTAAGCTTCTCTCTGTTCGTCTCTGTCCTCCAGTATCTGGACAGGCAGCTATGGATATTGTAGTGAATCCTCCAGTACCTGAAGAAGAATCTTACGTACAGTTCATCAAGGTCAGCTATAGTATATTTGTTCCGATGCGTGTTTTCTAACCCTCTGCCAACTGAAGTCCTACAAAGGATGCCGCCTCCTTTCTTTGTAGGGTCCTGTAATAACACTTGCCCACAGAACTTACGAGTTTAATTTAAACTACTGTTAATATAAGTACAATTATATATCCTAGATTTTTGTTTGAAGCCATAGCACTTCTATCATGCTTGCCTAGCTTGAGTTCAGCTGCTACGTACAACATATAACTTTCTCTTATAGTTTTGCATAGTAGGTAAGAACGACTACTTAATGAGACTAGCTTCTGCTAAAAAACACTATAGGAAAAATAAACTACCAAATGATGTTGTAGCTTTTACAAATGAATATACATATGATAAATGATAAATTAATATACATATGGTGCCTCTATGTAGTGAATTACAAAATGCATAGTGTAAGAAATCATAGTTACTTTTTTTATTTGTAGAAATACCCTGCCACATACAACTCTGCTGGAACTTTGTTGACTCAGTGGTGTGACAAGGGATAGATGTGGCCCATTATTTATAAAGCAGTGTTCTCATGTTAAATGCAAATTTGTATCTATCATAAGAGACAGGAATTGCTCTTCAGAAAAAAATATTTTATTTTTTTTCTTTTTTTAAAGATAGCTTCCTATCTCATAACTAGATCTTGATAGGAACACTAGCCAGTTCAAATTTTGGTAAGTAGACATGAGAAATTTTCCCTGAAGGTCACCAGCCCAGGTTAATGGTGACCAGAAGTCACTGTCAGCTAAAGATTGCTGTTTTGTGGCTGTTGGTGAATGAATTGCTTGCAGCCCTGTTCAGCTGGGACAAATGTTCACATTGCAAAAGTCATGGTTAGCATGCTTGCTGTTAGCCCTTATATCTTTGGCTTCTCTGCTGGGGCTACAGAGCCTGGAGTAGAATTTGTCTCCTCAGATCAGATTTGAGATGTATTGAAAATACAGTGCAGAAAAGCTCATCTGCTACTTAAGCTATATGCACTTTGTGGATAAACAGAGGACTTCAGGACTGATGGTACATTGAAATCTGCATTTTCTTTAAAATTATACTTTCCCCCTGTAAACTCCTGTTTTGCCTTTTTTGCTCAGTGGGAGCCCCCACTTTGAATTCTAGGCTTTTCAAGGCTATTGTCCTCAAACTCAAAGAGGATTTTGCACTTGCAGAACTCCCTTTTGACCACAGAATCCCAGATACCTTGTTTTATAGACTGGGACCACTTGATCATATAACACGTATCTGCAGAAGAGGCCCTAAAATTACCTTTATAAAGGTAATTTAATCACTTCTGTAATTAAAAACAAAAGACAAGTCACAAAACTCATTCATCCCAATATTACTTTAAACCTTTGAGTTTGTTGTGTTGGGTGTGGCACCCTAGGTGCAAGAACAGTATGAATCTGATATTTAAGAGGACATTTAGGTTGACCAATGTAGGACTGTTCAGTATGATTGATGTCACTTAGGAACACACAATATAAAAGGATGTCCCAGGTATGAATTCCAGTTTTCTGCTATTACAGTTAATCATGTCCAACTCCATCCTGAAACCAGTTTAGGTTTTTTGGTCCATTGAAGTTTATATTCATTATTTTCATTGCTAATTTTGACTATATCTTGCTTGACTTCCAGTTAGTAGGAAAGAATCACTTTTGTTTTACCAACTATAAAATTACTGAACCAGCCTAACAACCTATTTTTTCATTTATTTTTTCATTACAGCTTAACATCACTATTTTTTTCCATTTAATGAGCAGTTCAGCTTTTCTCTATCCTTATTCCCTCCTATTCCTTTTTCCAGGAAAAGGAGTCTGTATTAAACAATCTTGCCAAAAAAGCTAAGCTAACAGAAGACTTGTTTAATCAAGTACCAGGAATTTACTGCAATCCACTTCAGGGAGCTATGTATGCTTTCCCAAGGATCTTTATTCCTTCCAAAGCTATTGAGGCAGCAAAGGTCAGTCGTTCGTCCTTCATTCTAATCTAACTTTCCCCGATTTGTTGCTGCTCTTCTCATAGATGGATTTTTTTGTGAAGGAGGAGAAAAGGACTGTGCAGCTATAAAGGCAGTATGTTGCTAATGAACAAGAGAACTGGTTTGTAACTGGGGCCCATTTATCCTCTGTTACACAAATGCAGTTTTTATTACTTTCAGTGACTTATGTCCATGTAACTGAGAGAAAAATGGGATGCTTGGCTTGTTTTTTATTGAAGTAATGCCTTTTGACCATGCATATAGCATGGGCATGATGATTTGATTAAAATAGAAGAACTCTTTTGGTGGTTATTCAGGTGACTTTCTAATCAACATATATTTAGGAAAATCCAGTTCAAACGTTTGTCTGAGAAGTATTAAAAGGGTAGAGATGCAGTAATTACTCAAGGACTCTTTAATATCTTCTTTAATCTGACAATTTTTAGTGAAATGTGATTTTTGAGTGCCAATAAAAGTCTGTTTCAGAAAATACGAAGTCACAGCCAAGCAAGAAATGTGGGTAGAAATGGGGAGAACTGGGTTTTTTGAAGTGGCTGTTCTGTTCATTCTGTTCCATTGGGCAGGCATAACTGAGAGCTTGCATGCATTTCACCCACAGTGAGAGTTCCTCTCCTTCCATTCGGTACAGAAAATATGAGAAGTCAGAAAATAAGAGAGCTTCAAAAAGAAAGAGAAAAACATAAAATTCCATATTTTGTGCATTTTGATTTGTCATCTGAAGAAGAAAAACTAACTCCAGTCTATTGCTTAGGGTAATAAAATGGCTCCTGACATGTTCTACTGCATGAAACTTCTGGAAGAAACTGGTATCTGTGTCGTACCAGGCAGTGGGTTTGGCCAAAGAGAAGGAAGTTACCATTTCAGGTGCAGTATCTTTTTTTTTTTTGTAACATATTGTATGCTATAAAGATTTGGTGATTAAAATCATGGATTTCTCTTTCCTAACAAAATAAAACCATGAGGGCTGTTAAGGGCAAGCCATGGAAACAAATTTAGTCCAATTCACATTGCTCTTAAACCTGCTGTCTTTCCCCTGAGCAATTCAGACCTGCTTTCTCTTTCCCATGGACATTCTGTGTGTAGCTAATTATAGCTGTAGCAGTAGGACTAGTTTGTTACTTGCTATTCAGGTTTGGAAAGTGTTTCTTCAGTTCAGTCATATTTACTGTGTTCTGTTTTGTGCATTTGAGTTCACCTAAGAAACTCATAGATTCACAGATGCTAGGGTCAGAAGGGACCTCAACAGATAGAGTCTAACCCCCTGTGTAGGCAAGAAAGAGTGCTGGGGTCAGATGACCCCAGCCAGATGCCTATCCAACTGTTAAGTTGCAAAGAAATCAGAAAATACTGATTGTGTAGAATTGTGGTCTTGTAAAAGAAATTCTGTTGAAGCTTTGGTCTACTTTAAAGCAGTGAGTCAGCGTAGCTGCATACTAAAAAGTGACTATGAAAACTGCACCACCTTTTTCAGAAGATTTGCTTCCTACATATATTGAATAATATCCTCTGACTTAACTGAAATGAACTGGAGGTGAGGGAAGAATTGTTCCACCCTTCCTCACATTGAGTACCTAAATCCACATGTAGCCCTGTTGGCCATCTAAATGCATTTGCTTTGAACAGCTTGTGTAATTAACCTCTTAACATGAGGGAGCATTGCAAAATCCAACTTTTTTGTTAGCAATGCAGAGACAATACAACCACTGAGAATAAGATGGATTATATTTTGGCTCATGCAACTTCAAAACAAGCTGTTAACTAATTTAATTTCAGATCTTAATTCTCATATCAGTTCACGTCTCAGTAGTGCAGGTCTTTTGTAAAGGGAAATCTGTTTTGCCAATAGATTTGGATTTTCAAAAATCTTTTGACAAAGTCCGTCACCAAAGGCTGTTAGAAGAAACACAGTTACTGTGGGATTGGAGAGAAGATCCATTTATGAATCAAAAGCTGATTAAAAGATGGGAAATAGGGTAAGGCTAAATGGTGTTTTCAGAATGGAGAAAGATCAATAGTAGGGTCCTTTAGGGATCTATGCTGGGACTGGCTTTGATCAACGTTTTCGTAGAGGGTGTGAAGATACTAAATCATTTTTTGTAGTCACATTGCAGAAAGATTTCTCAAAACTGAGTGGGCAAAAAAGTGGCAGGTGAACTTCAGTGCTGACAAGTAAAAAGTAATGCCCATATAGGTGGAAATGACTAAGTGCAGGGTGCTGCACTTGGGCAGTAGTAACCGGCAGCACACTTGTAAGATGGGAAACTCCCTTCTTGTGAGCACGGAGAGAGAAAGGGATCTTGGAGTCATCATTGACTCCAAGATGAACATGGGCCGACAATGCGAGGTCATGGTTGGCAGGGCTAACTGGACCCTATCGTGCATCCACAGGTGCATCTCAAGTAGGGCCAAGGAGGTGATCCTCCCCCTCTACGCGACACTGGTCAGGCCACAGCTGGAGTACTGTGTCCAGTTCTGGGCACCCCACTTCAAGAGGGATGTGGACAACATTGAGAGGGTCTACAGGAGGGCCACCCACATGATCTGGGGACAGCAGGGCAGACCCTACAATGAGAGGCTACGGGATCTGAACCTGTTCAGCCTTTACAAGAGAAGACTGAGGGGGGAACTTGTGACCATCTATAAACTCACTAGGGGGGACCAGAAGGGTTTGGGGGAGACCTTGTTTCCCCTAGCGCCCCCCAGGATAACAAGGAATAACGGCCACAAGTTGTTGGAGAGTAGGTTTAGATCAGACATCCGTAAGAACTACTTCACAGTCAGGGCGGCTAGGATCTGGAACCAACTTCCAAGGGAAGTGGTGCTGGCTCCTACCCTGGGGGTCTTTAAGAAGAGGCTCGATGCCTACCTGGCTGGGGTCATTTGAGCCCAGTTTTCCTCCTGCCCAGGCAGGGGGTCGGACTTGGAGATCTACAAGGTCCCTTCCGACCCTACTTCTATGATTCTATGACCTTAACTATACATATACAGTGCTGGACTGAATTAGCTGTTATGACTCAGGAAAGAGATATTAGAGTAATTGTAGATAGTTCTCTAAAAACCTTGGTTCAGTATGTAGCAGCAACCAAACACCCAGTAAAATGTCTTACTAATAGTGAGGCTGCATGAGGTAGAAAGAATTCAGGTTGATTTTCTGGATTATTGGACTTGATTCTTCTATGAAAGCTTTCAGAGTTGGCAGTTAAAAAATATGCATAATGTTACATGTGAATCGACACAGCTTGATATAGAACAGTGTCCAACAATGCAATTATATATCATCTCTTTTCAGAACATGAGGTCATGGGATATAAGAATTAGAAACAGGTGACTTGCTGAGGATTTGCTACATCATTTCTAAAAACAAAGTCTGGTAGCTAGTACATTAGCCACACAAAGCAGTGATCTAAATATAGCAACTCTGACTATAATATGCATGCAGAGCATAAGAAAATATCTTAAAAACAGGTTGCAAGAAGGTACTATACCCTCCCACTCTAAGAAAGGCTCTTTAAGTGAATGTGTAGGCATTTGGCTTGGTTTCTTTTTAAGAGTGTTGTGTTGGGATTTGTTTGTTTGTTTTATATTGTAAAGTGAATCACAGTGTTTCTCCTCTTTTCCAGAATGACTATTCTCCCTCCCGTAGAGAAACTGAAGATTCTACTGGAGACAGTGAAAGACTTCCATATAAAGTTTCTGGAAGAATATGCATGAAAGACATTCTGATTTCCCCACCACCACCCCCCAAAAACCAAATGCAGAAAATGAACAAAGATGTGCTGAAAATGAGCTATTCATCTAAACTGAGTTCACAATAGTTAGAGCCCATCTATGGGATAAAACTACTACTGTTTCCTGAACAATTAAATATAATACCTGGTGTGGAACATACTGTCACACTAACACTTAAGTTTCTTGGTGATAGGCATAGGGACGGAGGGAATGTAAAAAGGGGAGGAGAAGAGTCTAGTAAATAATATTGTGCCTTGGTTGGAAGTTGTGTTGATGGAAACTTCTGGCATATTTGGTTGGGGAAGGAAGTATGAAAACAGCTTCTTCAAAGCTGAAATGCAGATATAGCAATTATCTGGTCACTGATATCCATTTCAAACTTTACCAAAAAAAACCCCTAAAATTTAGTTCCAGGTGTGGCTGAAGACTTTTTTTTTTTGGTCATTCATTCAGTATGATGTATTACCCAAATCTGACTGAGTTCACAACTGTTAGAGTGCTCATTTAACAAAAAAAAGAGTTGTGGCAGATCTTGTGTGACTAAATTCTACTACATTTGAACTGTACATAATTGAATGAAAACTGCCGTGACAACCTAATTTGAGTAGAACATAGAGGGAAGACTCCATAGTTCATGAGATTTGAAACAAATTATTCTACATACTATTCAGGTTGGAGTAGTGTATCATAGGAGAATGATTGCATCCAATAGTTTTATTCAGAAAATAATTAAGCCAATGGCTTTCCTGTTATATACACAAATGGGGTATGTGGAATACTGTTAGCAAGAAACTTCAAGGAAATCTGAAGATTTTTAAGCCATTTAAGATAATAGGGTCTAGCACAGAAACCTTACTGTTATAATATTTGTCCCCACATCACCTTTGGAAGAATAACTGCTTGGATCTTGAAGATTAGGGGATGATTTATGGGGGAGAGAACTTCCTGATGTTCCTGGCTTGAATCCAAACCAGCTCCATGAGAACTGAAAGATAGTGCTATCAGACAAATGCTGGTAACCTAAAAGAAACTAAATCGGAGAGATGTAAAATACTACATATGTCCTCCTTGGCAGTAAAAGTGAAAGTTGGCTGAATGGGCATGAAAACTTGGACACTGTCAGCTTGCAAGATGGTTCCTTTAGGACAGACAGTCTGATGGAGAAATATTGCACCTCTGCTGCCCTTCTCATTCTATTTAAGAATAAAACATCTGCCTTTCAGGGAGTTGTAAATTTTTGGCCCCTTAGGATAGCCCACATCAAAAATTCCATAGCTCAATAAAAAGTGTTACTTGAATGCAGCTTGCATCATCAACCCTGGAAATACTAAGTAATTTTGTCAATTTTGGTCAGGGTATTTTATAAAGAGCCTTCATTAGCAACAGCATCTTGTTTACATAATTGGAATCATATTCTTAAAGAGTAAGTTGGAATTCTTATGTTTACTGACCTTACTTTGTTAGGAGTTTACACCAGGATCAGCATATTATAATAATGAAGTCACCCATGTCCTTCAGTTGACTTAGATTTCCTAGAGCAGTGGCTAATGAACATACACATAGGCACATGCTTTATCCTTAAAATACTAAACCGGATAAAGACGAGTACAGGTCCACCCCTCTCTTGCAGCAGGTATTCGTCTATTAGTATAGTATTAGCATAGACTGCAGTTGGAGACTATACAAAGATCAGAAGTATGCATGTAGAATTAATTGGCAGCTTCATTAATCACCAGTGGTTGTATCTACATGAGATGCTACTGCACAGTAGTTACTACACATTTATTTAGTACTTGTATAAACCAGTACTAAATAAACACACAGTAAGCTGAGTTACTGTGCAGCAGGGCTGACAAACGCCTTTTTTGTGATGCTACTGCTCAGTAGCCTAATACTACTGCGTAGTAGTATCGGATTGCGGTTTCTACCATGCAGTGCTACTGCGGAGTAGTATCAGGCTACTGTGTAGTCAGCATCTTGTATAGATGCGGCCACGCTCAATTTGGCATCTTCCATTTGCACTACTATTACTCAAAAGAAACTCAAAGTAAAAATAATTTATTAAGGGGTCAAAATGTGGGGGTCAAATAGTTAAAGAAATAGCCTTTGGTGTAGTAATTTGTCCCCAAGTCAAACCTGGCTTTGGGCTCATTGCTTGGAAGTGGCTGCTATAATGAACATGTAGTATGAGATGTCTAAGGTCTAATAATGAAGCTAGTATATTTTTTATATTTTTGTAACTACAGCTTTTTCATGGGGTAGCATTTGTATTCTAACAAGTCTGTAGGTTTTTATACTTGCCTTGTGTTTACACCCAATACTCCTGGAAACAATCCAAGGTTTACATGTTTCTAAAGATACTTTGCAGGTATTTAAATAGGTTGGGGTTGTTTTTTTAAAGTCAAGACAGCAATTGTCCTAGTTTACTTTAAAATAAAGATACTGACATAATTTAGTTTTCTGAACATCCTCTTATGGTGCCTTTTACATTTCTGGCATTGCAAGAGAGGGTTATTTTTTTTTTGTGGGGGTGCATCTCTTATGAAGGAGAGAGGTTTCTACTATTCATCATACAATATTTATACGTATGGCCACACAAACTCTTAAATGTAGATGATTATGGACAAAAATAATAAGTAAGGGGTCTTGTTTTAATTATTTTTAATATTTCATTAGTAAGACAACCTACTTTTTAATGCATGCTTCTAGGTTTGGTTTTCCTCCAGGTGCTCCTTAACACTGTATTAAATTACTTTAGATGTATCAGGCTTCAGAACAATAAAATAGATGTCAAAAGTTGTAGTGCCATTCAGTCTGCTGGATAACTTAAAACCAGATATCCTGAATTGTATGGTAAAATATTTAACTTTATATTCAGACAATGGTAATCCATCATATAAACATAAGACATTTATTTCTTCTTTACTGGAGACATCATTCAATTCACAGACGTGAAATGTTTAAGTTATAGTGAATCCTGGATTTTTTGTATTGGTATCTTCTACATCCCACTTTGCTTGCATCAGATTGACAAATTAAGAATAAGCCACTTTTCTGATCAGCTGGAGCACTGCTGTGGTCATTAGTGGCTGATCAGAAATGTAGTACGCTTTGAAATAAAAGCTTTAGCAAGCAGCTGATCCACCTCTGCAGTCCTATACAGCTGCTGTTCTATGGCTATATGTACCCTGGCTAGTTTGCAAACCTTTATCGTGCAATCCCCTCTCTGCCCATAGGCGGCAGAAGGAAGGGCTAACGGGAATCAGCCCCCACCCCCAAACGTGGTAGGGCCGCAAGGCAGCCCGGCCACAGGCTTCCGGTGGCTGCAACAAGGGTGGGAAGGGGTGTGCAGGCAGCAGTGAGGGAGGGAGTGGGGCTGGGGCTGGGGTTGGGGCAGGTCCTGCATAGCTGCAGCAGGGTGCAGGACTGAGCTGCAAGAGGTTTGTCCGGAGGGGCACAGCTCCTGCTGCTACCTGCACCCTGGGAGGCATGGGGCATGTGCCCCCACATCTGCGTGGGGCAGGGTGGGTGGACTGCTGCTTGGGGCTGGGGCCATGTTGAGCTCTTCCTGGCAGGGGCTACTGGGCCATGCTGT